CCGTCTCCCTGAAGACTCCAACTTCTTCAGCTTTCCTGACAGTGCACCATCCTCCTCCAGGCTCTCCAGTATGTCTCTGTTCTTTTGCCTGTTTCTCGCCCTTTCTTCTACCTCCTAAAGGTTAGTATCCCCCAAAGCTCCACCTTAGGACCTCCTCTTCTTTTCCTACATATTCCTAGCAGGATGTACTGTTGAACAGGGTCCTCCAAAATTTCACGCAGAACCTCAGAATGTGACTTGATTTGAAAATAGGGTCTTTGTAGATGTCATTAATTAAAGCTCTCAAGATGAAATTATTTTGGATTTAGGGTGAGCCCTGTACCCAGAGAGTGGCGTCCTTATAAGAGAGGAAAGGTCACAGAGACCGAGAAAAGGGCCCTGCGGGCTGGGGGGCTGGGACTGGAGTGACGCAGCTACGACCCAAGGAACGACCAGCACCCGAAGCTAGGAGAGAGGCCTGGGATCGTTTCTCCCTCAGAGCCTGCACAAGAAAGCAGCCTGCTGACATGATGGCAGACTCCTGGCCCCTTATACCATGAGAGAAAGGAAAAAGGGAGAGAAACCTGCCGTGTGAGGCCCCAGAGTCTGTGGCTAGCAGGGCTAGACCATGAGTACTGAGGATCTACTGGTTCTCTGACCAATGCCAGTGATTCTGGTGGGTGTGCTAAGTGCTCACTGGCCTTGTCCTCTCATCTCCCGCCTCTGTTTTTAATTTGGGTACCCTACTATTATCTCAAGTTCTCTTTTTACCAAAGGACTTCATCGTCTTCTCCCCAGTTCACACTCTCCTTCACCCACTGAGTTCCCTCTTAAATGAACAAACTCAAGGCCCTGAGGTCTGTTCTTTTCATTAATAAAAATCATCTTGCTAACCCAGAATGTTTTGTATCCTCTTTCTCCCCTAATGCCTCTATGTAATGTAAATTATAAGGTTTGCCGGTGTCTCCACCTATCGCTCATATTCATCTTTTTTCATTCCAACTGCCCCACCTTTTCTCATTAAATTACCAGTTGATTGCATTATTTCCCAGAGGGGACTCATCACCTACAGTCTCTTCCTGATCTAAATCATCTTCCATCCTGGGCTCACATCAGGCAGTTTGTGGCAGGCCTGTACTCTATTCAAGACAATTACTAATTGCTGGCAAAGCAGACTCTAGTATCTACCTGAGTATAGTTCAGGGAATACCTGCATCATGTTAATTTGGAGCATTAGAATACAGATTTCTGGACTTTACCCAAACATGGACTCTTGGTTTGGGATCCAGAGTAATTCCCATAAAATGTTTATGCAAGTTCGATATTTAGACAAAGTGAATGCCTTTTATTTTGCTCTAAATCCACTCTCCTTCCTACATGAACCCTCTGTTTCTGCCAGAGAGAGAGAAATCCATCACTCCTCCCCACCAAATATACCTTGTTTATTTCTACTCATAAGCATTAGTTAGACCTAAAATCACTTTTTTTCTCTGCTTTCTCTTTAAAAGCTCAAGCTTCTTGTTCTTTAGGAAGACTTTTCCAGCCACATCACTCAAATTATTCTTTGCCACCTCTGGATTCTTATAGCATATTATTGTGGCAATGATTACTTGCTGATCAATTACATATCATTATTTAGGCTATCCGGTGGTTATGCTTTGTTTCCCTAAGAAAATCTTAAGCTGCTCCACACTGTTCACAGGATCTAGTAACTCAGTAAACGTGTGCTGAATCAATGCTTGCAAGGCTAGGTGTCACATCTCAAGTCTAGCCAATTATTATAGGAGAGTTAGACATATCCTGCCTCATTAGAAAAACTAATGGGAGTGGATGCTTATATTCCTATTCATTCTACTCAAGTACGATCATGAAGCCTGACTGGTGATAATTTAATAATGATAACATGTCTGACATCTGCTCTTCATAAATTTGAGAGTAGATAGCTAGAATGAAACCACCAATTTTAAGTCACATTGTCTACTGGTCTAATAGCTAAAGAATTAGTCTTAATACCACAAAACTTGGTTAGGAAACTAGGAAAATAATTATGTTTATAAAAATATAATTTTAGGGGTGCCTGGGTGGCTCAGTCGTTAAGCGTCTGCCTTCGGCTCAGGTCATGATCCCAGGGTCCTGGGATTGAGCCCCGCATCGGGCTCCCTACTCGGCGGGAAGCCTGCTTCTCCCTCTCCCACTCCCCCTGCTTGTGTTCCCTCTCTAGCTGTCTCTCTCTCTGTCAAATAAATAAATAAAATCTTAAAATATATATATATATATATAATTTTAAAACTGAAACCATACCAGTGTTCATTACTCACTTTCAAATGTAAATCATTCCATTCACTCTGACAAGTATCTATTGAGCATAACATGTACTATGCAAATCAAAATACTGATTACTTGGTCCATGCACACTAACCATGGAAATTGAACATAGAACACTCTCTGTCGCTCTTTATGAGGAGGAAAACATAAACATGGTGCAGAGAAATACCTCTAATACACAGGTTCTATCAGTCTGCTTTATCTCCTTTAATCCAAATAAATGTAAATAACCATAAATAATATTTCAAGAAGCTTTGTCTACAATCATAAAATAACATATATTTTTAAGCCCTGCCTTGGCTTTCACTAATTAACTTATGCCTCGCTCAGGAGAAAAAAAAGTTTACATTACAAATTTCAGAATTCAAAATACATTCCCTGCATTCTCCATTCCTTATTCTCACTTCTCAAATGTTACATAGAGAAAAACTGGAGAAACAATCATACTAGATCTCCAGTACTACCCCTGTCCACACATCTGACACAGTGAATGTTCATGCCCTCAAAATCCAAAAAGCATTACTCAAACCCCTCACTTGGACTGAACCCACTGGCTTCTTTATCAACACTTGGTGGGCCCTGAATCATCTCATTGATGCATTCAAACATCAAAGCACCTATATGCCAGGCTCTGTTCCAAGTATAAAACTAGGGATGAAGAGCTGAAGCACAGCCAGTCCTTACCCTCAAAACATTTACAGTTCAGAAGGATAGACACACACAAAAACAAATATGGACCATAAAGAGCTGTGGATGCCCTGCTCGAAGTGCACAAACAAGGCTCCCGTAGCTTCACAAAGCACAAGGCTCAAGAAGCAAGTTGCTTTCATTGTGTAATTGCTTAACAAATGTCCTGCATATTTCAAAGTGCGATTTAATCAACTAGAAATTTTAAAATAAGGTACAAATATCTTCTCATGAGAATATTGAGAATCAATGGACTTAGGCAGCACAGACTGACACTGTTATTCTCATTCACTCGTACCACTAATGAAAACAATGTATATATCACTTCATCAATATGATGGCATATCATCTAGTCAATAAAAATTATACTCTAAAGGTTTCAAATAACTTAAAGAATGTTGGATGGAAAAGTTAAGATTGAAAATGTATGAAGAATATGTTTGTAGCTGTAGTAAAAATTGCCTAGAAAAAAGGGATGACAAAATATACTAACTAGTTATTTCTGGTTTATTACTTTCTTCTTTATAGTATCAAGTATTTTCTAAATTTACAGTTGTAATCTGAAAATAAATATTTTATATAAATAAAATTCCACACTGTCCTAAAAAAGAAATCTGTATTCCCCAACATTTGAGGAAGCAAAGGAAGTATATACTAAAAGGTTAGTGGAAGAAAGAAAAGGTATTGAAAGGAAAGCTAGCACTTGCCTAACATTCTTTTTTTTTTTTTTAAGATTTTATTTATTTATTTGACACAGAGAGAGACGGTGAGAGAGGGAACACAAGCAGGGAGAGTGGGAGAAGGAGAAACAGGCTTCCGGCCAAGCAGGGAGCCCGATGCGGGGCTTGATCCCAGGACCCTGGGATCATGACCTGAGCTGAAGGCAGAGTTAATGACTGAGCCACCCAGGCGCCCCTCGCCTAACATTCTTATCACAAGAGATTCTCAGATATTTAATGGGAGCTTATGACTGCTCATTTTGCAACTGAGTAAATTTTTATGAAATGTAAATCTTTATATCCAAATTAATTAATATGCATTACTGCAATTTCAGGAACCTATACGTATTGGGGCAGTAATGAAATAGAAGCACACCAGACCCTCCATATCATCATCATCATCATCATCATTAATTTTTAGGTAGTCTCCACACCCAGCTTAGAGTCCAATTCAAGGCTTGACCTCAGGACCCTGAGCTGTTATCAAGAGTCAGATGCTTAACCGACTGATCCACACAGGCGCCCCAGTCCTTCACATTATTAAAAATGTCCTCAACCCTCCTGTCTGCCCTTCTTCCCTGTGGCTTCCCCGGCTGCCATGCCCCTGCTCCTGTGCTCCTGGCCTCAGCGTTCCCCTCCCCACCAGCAGTTTGACGGACTCAGAGCGTGGGCAGAGTGCTGACAAAACCAAGTCACTCTAAACAGTCAATGGTAGAAGTATAAGCAGTGAATTTCAAAGACTACTTTAAAAGGGCCAAAGGGACCAAAGAATGTGTTACTGACATTTTTGTGCTGTTCATATGCTAATTTGGACAATGCTTTAAATAAAATAAAAAGTTGCCATATTATTTTATTGTTATTTGGCCAGAAAATGCTGAGAAGGATTTCTTTGCAGTATTTTGTGTTAAGTTTCTTAGAAAATCACTTTTAGTCACATTAAAAAAGGCGAAGCCAGATAATGAGGAGGGAGAATTATTTGCCCCGAGATCTGATCAACATTTCCCTTCATCTTTAATATCGTTACCTTGAAACAGTCACCAAGGATCTCAGAGCTTCCAGTTTCTCTAGAGGGGCTGAGCTAAATGGTCTGTTATGTCTCTTCCAGCTCTGAAATTCTACATTTTAAAAAAAAAATGTTTCTGGGTTTAAACAAGGCCTCTTGAAAAATAATAAAAAAAAAAAATTTAAACTGGAAAAAATTTTTAATTGCTCAAGTGAATTAAGACATTTATTCCCACTACATAGATTTGAAATAATTATACACATGGTTTTTTAGCTTTCATATTTTTCAAGTATATAAACGCAGCACCAAAATATATATAGATCAAAACAAAACTGGCAATCTTAGTAATAAAATAGAAAATAAGCCTAGCTCTGCAATAGAATGGCAGTGAGTGGTTTTGCCTCTGACTTGGGTACTTCAGGAATTAAAATAATTTCACATAATGCAAAAGCCAAGACTATCTTATTATTATAATTAATAGCATTACTATTAGCAGTAACTTTTTTTTTTTTATCACCTACTATATGTCAGGGGCTGGGTGTTTAACCTCATTTTTAATTTAATCCACATTATAGCCTATAGGTACAATTATAATTCCAGATGCAAATAATCAAGGCTCAGAGAGGTTAAGTAACTTGATGAGGTGACCAAGCCAGTGAGCGGAAGAACCAGATCTGGAACACAGGACTGTCTGATCTGCCTGTGCTCTTGACCATTGCCCCAACACTCACTCTGCTCATAAGATGCCTCGGTGACACACTTGTCCATTACGTAACCTCCCAGACCTTCTTGAGCTGACTCCCAACCTACCTCTTCAGAGTTGTTTCCACTGTTCCCTTTTGTAGGTACTTCATTCAAGGGAAAAGGAATCACTTCCTTTTCCCACCTTTGTGTCTTTGACTAAGCTCTTGGTTCCCAGACCTGTATTCCCAGGTCCTAAACATGTCTCAGATTATACTCATTGATCATGAAACCAGTCTACCTTGTCTGGAAGCAATGAGCCCTGCCTCGATTCTCACATCACATCATTTGCTCCTCTTGTGTAGCACGTATCAGCTAGCTATTGGTGATAGTGGGATTTATCACCTCCTCTACAGTGCAGTCCTTATGTACAGAATCAATAAGAGTTCACTTTTGTATCCTCGAAGCGTTTAGTACAAGGGGAATGTGACTGGTTTAGAATATGAGTCAGAAAGTTTAAAAATGAGTATTTTGTTTTAAGTCCTGCTAACACGCATTGGAAACTCGAGCTGCTGTAGCTGAGGATCACTTAAGAGAGAAACATTTGACAGGGAAACACACACTTACTTACACAACAACATACACACACAGTCTTAAAGAAATTAAGTAAAACAGAAGTAGAAATATGGAAAGCTGAGATTATTTGTTGGTTTTAGCTAATTTTCACTGAAGCATAAAGAAAGAGAATCAACTTGGGCCACGGAAGTCTAGGGCTTCCTCTTTTTTACATTTCCGATTCTCACAACTACTGATGCCCTGGATAAAGGAGTGTATCTGGTAATTTTTTTAAATTTCATCAAAGAAAACTCACTTTAATATTTTCACTCTTATTTACCTCTCTGGTTAATCTGCAAAACTCAAAGTAAAAATTGCAGCAGTGTCTGCCCAGTAAAAGCATCTAGACATTTATGGTTAAAGTTAAAACTTTTTTTCTTACCATGAGATTTTAATTAGAAGCAGAAAACATGGATCAAATAAACTTTTAATATGCACACAGAATTTGTCTGCCCTTGCAGGCCATGGAGTTCTGTTGCGAGGAGCTCTATAGCCAACTATTTATGGCTCATAACAAAATGTTTGCCATCAAACAATGTCTTGGCTCTGTTTTCTGCTTACAATATGTCTGCTCATCCTTAACTGCCTGCCTGCTTCACTTCCCTAGAAACCTCTACAAGAACTGAATCCATCAGCTTTCCACTCCTCCAAATAATAATCTGTCATCATTAAGAAAAAGAAAACCATTTTATCCAAGGACCCCAGTTTTACTACCTTTCATCACAACATTTCAGACTGAATCACTATCATCTTATTGGATTATGTCATTGAGATTCCTTTCTCTTTTAGCATCCACATGCATGTGTGTAATCAATCATTATATCATCAATTCTCCATTCGGAAATTTTCTGGGATTTACTCTTCATCATTCTTACCACCTTCAGCCTAAAACAAGCTGTGACTTCCCATAGCCTATCCGTTCTGCAGAGACCTCTGTGAGCTACATTGTGAAAGTCAGTCCCTTCAAAGAACATGGTAGTTAACTATAAAAGAGATCCAAACATATAGTAAGAAAATAAAGTTAGTTAAAAGACCTACATATCAGGCACACAATAAGTATTTATTGACTGTGGAGATATAATCTATTCATGAATATTTTAAGGAGAGAGAATTAAAATACAAATACAGCATATTCTGACTGTACAATTTCATCTTAAGTTATTCCACATGATATCTTTTATGTTTCTAGTTCCTGACTTACTCCACATTCTTACTGTCCAGAAATAGACCTAACAGTTGTGGCCGCAGATGGTAAATACTTATCAATTGAAAAATCTAAGATACTAACCATTGCACAAATATTTTTCTAGTAGGTGTTTTTGGAATTGTTACCAATTTACTGGCTTTTGTTTCCTAGTCCTCCCTAGATCATTATTCCTGGATTAGACTATAGCAGATGGCAGAGATGACTTCTTTTTTTTTGGGTGTTCTAAATTTTTTTTAACTTCAATCTCCAGTTGAGGAAGTAATAAACATTCTTGACTACTTTGAAAAGCATATTTCATTTCTCTGTGTTTAAGTAGCAAGTCAAGTTTATTCACCAAGACCCAGAACCAATCTACTGTCCTCAAACATTTTAAATGCTTCATTTTCTCTAAGTAATACCGATGTAACAACTGTATACCTAACACGCCATAATTACACGGTAGATATGCTGTGTGGATGTACAGAAGAATTGCACTTGAAAAGATGAGTTTTTGCATTCTTTAGCAACAGAATCGATCCTATATAATAAGGAATAAGCAGCACAGGGGAGAAATGAGAAAATCTTGTATTTGGGTTGAAGCCATATGTTCCAAAATGCTGTTCAGGGCCATGAACCTCAGTCACTGTGCTTGCTTGGCACTTCCCTTGTGAAATATTCAGAAGATCCTATCTGATAAAAACTAACCTAGACCCTTATTTTATTGACTTAATTGTGTCAATAGGAGGCATCTTCCAATGAAATTTCTCACTCTACACTAAAAAATAAATAAAGGTCTAGTGTCAAGTTATTTTATGTTATTAAATATTGTAGGATTGATAAGAGAATACCAATATGTTTTACAGGATCGAAGTATTGAGCTAAGACATATGCAAGTTCATGTTTATGGTGTGTTAGACGTCTGGTATTAACATATCTTGCCAATCTTCACCAGAATTCATGAGGCAGGTATTATAATTTTCTGCAGTTTTTAGATGTCAACTAAAGCACAAGGATATATAATTGGCCCGAGATCACCCGACCAATTAGTGGTGGAGCCAGGACTCAAATCAGTGGGTTTGACTCGAGAGGCCATGCTCTTCACAATCCAGATGATAACAGCAGCCTGTGAAGGGAAACACAACGGAGTCTGAGTAGACTTTGCAAAAGCCAGATAAAAGAATGTGGCAAGCTAAATTCTGGAAATATGGAAGGGGAGGACCAGATCACAGCGATGCATGGGGGAAATGTTATAATCTGTCTAAAATGTTAAGGGACCAATGGCTCTGGAGAAATCCAAAAATCCTTTGGTAATGCCATCTCTAGAAGTGTCAGTAACACAAACTCATATGCTGCTAGCTAAGCCACGTGCTTCGTTCCTATCTCAGCAAAATTGTAAGCTACGTCTCCTGGATGATTTCCCGTAGGAAGAAAGCTCCAATCTTAGGACCAGATTAATGCAAAAATGAGATTTTCTTTACAGAATTTGATTTACAAAAATTAATTTCTACCTGATATTAATAGATTGCATCGAATCTGAATAGAAGGGCTACCCTTAGTTACGTTAGACCTGAACTCACCAGTACAATAGCCCCTAGTCACGTGCAGCTAGCCTGCTCTTGAAATGTGGCTAGTCCAAATTGAGATGTGCTCTAAGTATAAAATAGACATTGGGTGTTGAAGGGGGAAAAAAAACATGCAAAATATCTCATTAGTAATGTTTATATTAATTACATGTTGAAATGATAATATTCTGGATTAAATAAAATATGTTATTAATTTCACCCATTTCTTTTTATTCTTTCTAAAAATACAGAAATGCTAGAAAGTTTAAAATTACATATACAGCTTACAATGTGTTTCTCGTAGAATGCTTTTGATCCTTTAATTGTACTTAGTGAATATACTAATATGTATTCACATTGTATTACATAGTCTGAACCATATGCGAGGATTAAAACTTTTCTTCTGAATTCATATCTGATACAGCTTTTAGTTTCTGATTAAGTGCACCACATTTACTCAAATACGCTTTTGTTTTCAAATTCTGCACCACGCGGGGGAAAGAGAGCTCTCTTACTTTGTTTGGGGCCTCTGGACTCACAAGACGGTTGCAAAGCACTAGAGCCACCAACTGTTCAAAAGTGGCAACACCCAGCTGCCTCAGACCTTCCCAGAACGAGAAGTGAACGTGTGACAAACACAAGTCTGTGGAGGAAAAAGTGTTTTAAATCATATATAGGCAATATGCATGATCTCTATTTTAAACTGATGTGGTTTGTTCATCCAGCAAAAATATAGGGGCTCACATTTCAGTAAATTCTATGGGAAAATAAATGGCAATCGTTCAAGAAAAAAATACTGAAAGTATATAGAAAACTGCATGCAGATGAAAAGATTTCAAATAAACATTGAGGAGTCACGTATAATAATGCTGTTTGAAAATTTTAATTGGCAGAAATCAGAAAATAACAATAAATATTTCCCATAACAAAATAAAGCAGCTTATATGTATTTTTGAAAACATGCTAATGAGTTTGAGAATATTTTTATGATTTTAAAAAGTTATCTGTAACGATGGAATAGTATGAATACTATGGTTCTGCAGGGACTTTTTGCATGCAGAAGTGTTGCTAATGAAAGTTTTGGCTACTATCAGTTTCCCAAGTGCCGGTGGGTGCTTCATTTAGGACCAGATGGCCTCGCTCTACGGCCACTGAGGCCTGATGGACCCTCTTGGCTCCCACCAGTGTCCCAGAGTCTCCTGGCTGGTTTGGTGGAAAATTTTCCAGGCTTGCTTGGCCTGATGAATAAGGAGGTCCATGTCTTCTGCCTGAGGCTAAATAACAGAGGCAAAACAATCAATTTAGCAAACTTAAACCTTCAAATATGCAACCATAGGGCGTAGGTACAACCGTGGAATCTCGGTCCATCCGGTTTGTCTTTATTGGGTGTTTAACAAGCCGAGCAAGGATATCACCACAGCTCTGGGGAGTCTTCTACAAAGAAGGGTAGGCCATGGTTCTTACCTGTGATGCCTGTAGTCAAAGAGAACCCTGAAAATCTCCGGTGTCATCCACATATGAATATAATAACTGCCAAACACTCATCTTATTTCCTATAGCAAAATGAACCTTAGAAATTTGGTGACATCTGAAAAAAAGAATATCCCAGTCACTGTGCTTGGAGAACATCAAAATGAAACATGGTATATTTGTACTGGTGACGACTTTAGAGGAGGATGCATTAAAAAAGATGAAGCCTGGCTTCCCAGGCCATTTGAGGAGAGAAACACGAAAACTGTTTGGAAACTTAAGCTCTCCTTATTTTGAGGCATACATATCTTTAGGCAAACTGAATAATTTTGATGTTTAAAGGGATTGTCTGTGATTTTAAGAATAGTGTGCGATCTTCTCTTTTCCTTGGTGGAGTCAAACTCCTTAGCAATTTGTTATTTTAGGTTTTCTAATTCTGACTTGAATTATATGATAAATAAATCTTCCCTGAGAAAGTTTCTTAAAACTATCAGTTTCTTGGTAAAGGCCTATATTCAAGTGCATTTAGTATGTTTAAAACTAGACACCATCTCAAAGTTTTATTCTGATTTATTATCTTTTAAATGCATACATTTGAAATTGTCTCTTTGAAAATGTGTTGGTTTATGGTGTAATTTTACATTAAGAATTATTCTTGGAAAAATAGCTCTAGATGTTTATGGGTAATGTGTGAAAGCTCTGTAATATATAACATTTGCCATCAATATACTTTCAAACAGAGAAACAATAAAGTATTAAAGTATATGTTGCAGGTAGAATAGATAACCACTCTGTTTAGTGTTATATAGAAGTGGTAGAGAGATGATTTTTACCCTAATGGAAACTATACGCTAATTGTGTAGGAAAGACTGACATGTGACATGGGAATGAAAATTATAGAGTGAGAGTGGGTGTTAAGCCTTGTAATGAATGCCAATGGGATCAAAGCAGTCTTTATGCAGCAGGAAAGTTATCATTGAAGAGAAGGGAACTGTGAGAGCTTTAAAGAATAAATATAACTTGGACAAATAGAAGAGGGAGAGAGAGATGTTCCAGGAAATGGATCAAAAAGAAAGATGACAGAAAAATATTAATTTGCCTGTGAAATAATAAGAACAAGAGGCTAAAAAAGTATATATATACATATGTATGTGTGTATATATATTGCATTTATCTTTCAAAATACCTGATTTAAAACCATTGTCCTCTTCTTAAATTTTATTTTGTTATGTTATGTTAATCACCATACATTACACTAGTTTTTGATGTAGTGTTCCATGATTCATTGTTTGCATATAACACCCAGTGCTCCACTCAATATGTGCCCTCTTTAATACCCATCACCAGGCTAACCCATCCCCCCACCCCCCTCCCCTCTAGAATCCTCACTTTCTCAGGGTCCATAGTCTCTCATGGTTTGTCTCCCCCTCCGATTTTCCCCCCTTCATTTTTCCCTTCCTACTATCTTTTTTTTTTTAACATATAATGTATTATTTGTTTCAGAGGTACAGATCTGTGATTCAACAGTCTTACACAATTCGCAGTGCTCACCATAGCACATACCCTCCCCAGTGTCTATCACCCAGCCACCCCATCCCTCCCACCCCCCACCACTCCAGCAACCCTCAGTTTGTTTCCTGAGATTAAGAATTCCTCATATCAAAAAAAAAAAAAAAAAAGAATTCCTCATATCAGTGAGATCATATGATACATGTCTTTCTCTGATTGACTCATTTCACTTAGCATAATACCCTCTAGATGAATGGATAAAGAAGATGTGGTGTGTGTGTGTGTATATATATATATATATATAATGGAATATTATGCAGCCATCAGAAAAACCCAAAATCTTGCCATTTGCAACAACATGGATGGAACTAGAGGAAAACCATTGTCCTCTTAAGACCAGTTATTAGATAATGTTATTAAAATGGTTTAGCCGAATTTAGTCATCATTTTGTATGTATATACTTAAGCATAATCAAACAAGTTATAATACCAATATTTATTTGGACCTTCAACTTACAATAGAATGAAACCAGGCAGCTCCTGGATTTTGTTCATGGCATTCACAGATATCATCAAAAAAGAATTACTAATTTGGCATCATTATCTTCAAGATTATAATTTTGTCGAAGAAAATTCAACTAGAAGAAACATCCTGCTACTCCAGGTGGAGATAAACACGTGTGATTGGAAGTCATCTGGTTTTGTGGGTGAATGAAAAAGTGCCAGACATCACTGGGCTGCAAGATCATAGCTTTCTATACTGGCATGTTTGAGATCAGTTCACAACTAAAATGGTGCCTTGAATTGCTACCTGTTGAGAGGTTTTGTCATAACAAAGACTCTAATATGTGATTGCTGATTTTCTAAAAGACAAGTCTTCACATACTTAAATGAACCTTTTATAGAAGCTTTACTATTAGGAGGATATAACCAACCCAAATTCCAGCTCAGTTTGACAGGGAAGAGTTGACTCATGAATTGGTCATTTGACAGATATTTTCAGCCACATGAATAAGGTAAATTGTTTGATTGGAGGCCTTGACATGACATTGTAGATACTGATGGGAAAAACAAAAAAACAAAAAAAGAAAACAAAAAAACACTTATTGTTAGGTACACATTGTCACTCTGGAAAGAGATACTGAAAGCAGACAACCTTGTAGGATGGTCTAGTGCTGGAGAAAATTCTTCAGGCTACGGATGAAAATAACAGAGTTCCGAAATTTTCACTCTAAACAGAAATCTGTAGACACCTAAAAGCACCACAAGCCACACTGAAGATGTCTTCTGCATGTTCATAGGTAGAGAGCAGCAAGTATTCCTGACTTGCCAAAGAAGAATGAATCAAAAACCATTCCACTGTGTCAATTTTGCATTCTAGCCAAGCAGTGTATCCTTCTCCTTGAATTTACATTTTAACTTATTTTTTTTTCATTTTCAATATTTGAAAAAATGTTAGGAAGATAGAATTCTTTAGACATGTTGCTTTGTCATCTATATGAAGAAAATCAAATTCTACTATAGTTAATTGTGCTAATGTGTAAAAATGGGGGGTCCTTGGATTTCATTAGATTTTAAAGGACCCAAGACCCATAAAGACTAAGAAGCATTGTTTTATAGACATACTACAAATGATGAGGCATATATATTGGTTCCTCTTCAAATATAGTACAGGAGTTGTTCAAAACTATGTTGCAAGAGACAACTCAAACTAGTTTAAGTAAAAACTGAAGTTTAGTTGCTTTAATAAGTGAGATATTTCATGGTAAAGCTGGGTCTGGGATCAAAATGATATAGTGAAGTAGGCTTGTGCTCATTTGTTCTCACTCTCTCTCTCTTTCCACATTGTGGAAAAAATGGCCACCCACAGATTAGTAATCCCAACAGAAAGCTGCAGCCCTTACCCTCCCTGAAGTTATTCGATCAAATGCGCTACTTATCATTCTCACTGAGGCTGGGACAGGTGTCCACTTTTATGATTACAGATAGGTGGAATGATCCTCATTTAACTCACTCCCCATAAGGAAATGGAATTCTCTTACCAGTAATAGAGCAGTAGAAGTGGAGAGCTATCCATTGTCCACCTAGGAAAAACATGCCCTTTACCCCATAGGTGTAAACTGGGTGTGTTGAACAAGCATGACATAAGGATTGTGATCACAGTGACAATTAAGTTTTGTCCCTTACTTTGGCTTCAAAACTTACTCAGTTCAGGTAATCTTCCCTTACCTTGAAAGACTATTGGACAGGTCCATAATTTTTGTTGTCACTCACTTGCAAAAATTAAAAGTTCTTCAGTTATTGTTAGTAAACACAATTTCAATTTAAAAATTAGACACCCAGTACAAAATATTAAGCCAAATCTTAAGCTTGATATAGCATTGAACATTCTTTTCTTCCCAAGCTTGGATCTGCTCTCTCTGGAGGCATGCCATGGGGAAGGAAGGAGGGAGGTAGAGGGAACAGGGGTGCATCCTTTGTGTTCTCTGATCCTGCCCTTTCTCTCTTCAGAGATTCCTTAACACACTATCTCTCTCTTACACTGCCCTTGATCCAGTCAGGCAGATGACTCTTCCAGATGATCTTCTACCATTTTGTTCTACACCCTTAGGCCTATGTACATTCATCTTCATTCTTTCTCTGCTGAGATTTACTGGCCCTCATTGGACAAGATTCATGACATCCTACACATATCCCACCTCTGGTTCATCTCTGAGTAGTCGTCATCCTAACATCCTAACATAACTTAGCCTCTCCTGATTAACACACGTCAACAACTCTCTCCAATAAAATCTCTTGACCAAATTCCTCTTTACTACACCCTGACTCCTTTTTATATTCCTTAAGGAACAGGTTTTTAGAGATGGTTCCTTTCTAATTCTGCATATGTAAGCTTCATGTGGGCAGAAAATTTTAACTGCTTCGTTCACTGCTTCATCCCCAGCACCCAGAATAACAAGTGGCATGTAATAGGCATTCTATGTTGAATAAATCAGTATGAAGTTGGAGACTGTCATTTAGGTAATCTGATGTTGATCACTGGTGCCTCTGTCAAAATAGAGACAGGAAAGATCCAGTTATAACATCATATTAGACATGCACAAACAATTCCCACATTTCCTCTGCCTCATATAGTAAATACAATTATCCCACTTACAACCGAAAATGCACTTACACTTCCCCAGAGGCAGAGAACAAAAAATCAAATCCAGCTACTGTGTAAATGGTATGTCTAGGAGCTCTTAAGCATACTCTTCTTAGTCCAAGGTGCTTTGTCATGTCTGGCAACATTTGACTAAATTATAGGTTTAATCACTCTATGTACTGGTTATCTATTGTTGAGTCACAAAACCACTCCAAAACTTCATGGTTTAAAACAATGATATTTATTTTGTTCATAGGCCTGCAATTTGGGAAGGGCTTGGTGGGGGCATGTCATCTCTACTCCTTTCAAGCTAAAAAGGCTTGAAGGCTGATGACTGGCATCATCTGAGGACTCAGTCACCAACATTTGGTTGATATTGACTCTCAGCTGAGACGGTGGCCGGGATACAGATACACAGATTCTCATAAGGGTACTTAGCTTCCTCAAAGTATGGTGATTTGGTTCCAAGGGTGAGTATCAAGTGGTTCAGGCAGTAACTGTATTCTTTTTATGTGCAGCCTCAAAAGTCACAGTGTCACTTTTTTCACGGTCACAGGCTCTCCCAGATCCAAAGAGAAAAAACACAGACCCCCTGCCATCTCAATGAATATGTGTCAACATTGCACCATAATAAAAGCTTGAAGGATGGGATACATATTATTGTGATCATCTTTGGAAAACACACTCTTCCATACCCCAAAATATCAGTTTACGACAATGAAGACAGGCAGAATTCCCACATTTGGAAAAAGAACAAGAGTGTAACAACAAATGGTCCCACGCCTTACACCATGTCTTGAGGCCAGGAACAGCAAGGCCCACCCTCCTGAGTTTTATTCCTCTGTCAGTCCTGCAGCCACGGGCTGCATGTCCACCTCAGTCTTACCTGAAAGGGGTTTGGGGAGTAAGTCTCTATTTTTAACAGATCTCTTTTTGCTAGCAGTGGTTCTGAAGCTCTGAGAAAACACAATTAAGAGAATTAATCATCACAGTACTTTCAGGATCCAGGCTTCTCTTGAACCACCTAAAATCTGAGATGCCGGTCAATTACATTTCTCTTACTTTCACCGGCTCAAATGCTAGCCCATGGTCTGCTTGCCCTCAGATACACTCACTGCCTTCTTGTTCTTCTCAAACTTCATAGGCCCTTTCCCATGTTCCCATGTGATCTGCCTTTTGTTAGAAGGAAGAAACCAGGGTATCTCTCCCTATGCCTTGCATGGCATCTTTGGCTGCGTTTCCTTCATAATCCCATTGCCCAGGTTTCAGGGACACTTCATTCTCCTTTGTTCTCCTGGTGTAGGGAGATGGTCTGCCCTGCTTTTGCTCATCTCTGGGTTGACATATCATCAATTTGACATCTCTCAATGATTCCATCATCTAACTAATTCCACTATTAAATGTCCTTTGTTTCAAATTCTTAGAAGTACTTAAGTATTATTTAAGCTACTGTTATTCTGACTTTGAGTTAGAGCAACTGAATCTACTGATTTTTACAAATTGAATTAAGTCTGTGGAGTGTTCTCTATCTAAATTGTGACTTTTCCCATTTTAAAGTTTATTAAAATAAGCTGATTTATTAAATTAGCTTATTCACGTTCAGAGAAAGGAAGTGTTTACTGAACATTTATTACCGGCAATAGATTTCATAAATCATTCAATTCTCACGATTCAATAAAGTTGGAGGATCACCCCCCTCTTATAGTGAAAAACCTGAAACTAAGATTAATTAAGTAGCTTATCCAGTATCTTACTCTTTATTATTCTTTCCACGACACTGTACTATGCGTTGCCTATTTTATTTATTGCCTATGGTCTTTATCCTGCTTTGAAAATTGCCATTTGATATTTAGTAATAAATTTTAATGTTTTAGTGAACATCTCCAAATCAGATTTGTGTCCTTCATAAGTACCTTTTCATCTATACTTTGATAAATCAAAGCTTTTGGTTGAGAATTAGTTACTATAGGAATCCAATTAATAATCAAACATGGAGGGGGAGTTAAGGCACTTCAGGAAGAGTGCACACAACCAAATCACCAATAATTACTTAAAATTTTCACTATTTGCATCCTAAGCTCATAAAGTCTAAAAAATACATTTAATTTGTAGAAAAAAACCATTCATGAATAAATAAATTAGTATTAGTACTGAAATAAACCTGTTCTCTGCTTGCACAGTAGGTCTGACATTAGTTAGAAGGAAATCATATTGAATTAATACAACGTCCGCACGAGTATAAATCATATTGTCAGCTACCACAGTGTCACAAAAGCGCTTCACCATAAAGTGATGGTTTGGTTGCAGCCACATTTGCATTGAGAATGATGAAAAGCATCTGAGCTTGTTTGGTGTCACCTTGAAACATGTTTGAAAGCTCAGGGATACACATCTTTCACGTATATTTTATTTCATGTAGACTAATTTAGTGACAATTTTAGTTTTTCTGAGTTCCTTTTGGGGAAAGAAAGAAAAAGTCTTGAGTGTGAGGATTCAAGCCAAAGAAATGTGTCAGGCTGAAAGTGACAAAAGTCTCTGCAGTAGGCAAGATTCTAAGATGTTCCCCAATATTCTGTCTCTGGTGTGCACACCCTGCAGAATCCCCAAGACTGCAAATTTAATGTGTTTTAATCCTGTGATTAGGTTATGACGTATGACACCATTAACCTGGAGATGGGGGGGGATTATCTTGGAAGGCCTGACCCAATCATTTGAGCCCTTTAAAAGTAGAGAATATTCTATGACTGCTCACGGAAGAGCAAGTGGAGAGACTGGAAGGGCAGTTCTCCATGCTGAGATGGGGAGGACGTCATGCTCAGGAACTGGGAGCAGCTTCTAGGAGTTTAGAACTGTTCCCAACTGATGGCAAGCAGGGAAATGGGGATATTAGTCCTACAACAGCAAAGTGACACATTCTGTCAATAACAATGATGAGGTAGGGAAAGCACCTGAACTCCACATGAGAACATAGCTAGCTAATGCCCTGATTTTAGCCTGAGCAAAAGCCAGCCATGCTGTGCCTGGACTTCTGACCTACAGGAATGTGAGCTAATAAATGGATGTTGTCATAAACTGCTAAATTTGTGGTGATCTGTTACACAGCAATAGAAGAGAACTACATCTCCAAAGGTGGCCTGAAAGATCCCTTTCAGCACCCTGAGAACTGGGTGAGCTTGATGGGACTGGCATGGGGTTGATGGGACATGGAGGGACTTTTGTGCACAGACTTGCTCCACATGGTCATGTTAGGACTCTCTGGTCTACTCTGAACAACTGGAGTGGGCTTAGGCAGTATGGGGCTTTCATTACTCAGCTTTAGTCCAAAAGCATGTATAGCGTCCCAGCTTACCAAGCACATTTTGATACAGGGCTTGCATGAAGCTGAGGCTTTACTCCAGCAAGCATTTTTGTCTGTAACCATATATACATTGGATGATAGAAAAATCCTGTCATAAATACTTGGTCTCCAAATCTGAATCCACTGCTCTATAGGAAGATGTGTCATAGTCACTGAAAAGGGTGTATTGTATTTTGTAAAATAATCTGCCTTTTTATTGCTTTATTTATTACCCAATAGAATTTGAATTTTTGAGAGTTCTTGCTTGCAAATTGGCAATTTACAGATATGCAAAAACATAATCCCACAAACCTAAAATACTGTTTAGTGTTATGCTGACAATTACTTTACTTTCTTACCACAAAGATAATTATAAAGCATATTATTCAATTTTTTTGAACAAAATGAAGCATTCCTGAAAGATTGGACCAAAAAAACCTTTTTTAAATAACATATTTGCTACTGAACATAGTATATTTTAGAGATGCAATTGTCAGCCCTTGCCATTTGCCTTTATCTCTTTAACTATGATGAATGTGAAGCCAGAGCAGCTTATTTAGATAGTGAAGTTAACCTTATTAATAACAGTACGTGCCTCATAGTGTTCCAAGTCATACTTCAGAATAAAATGTGTCCTAAGTTTTATTGGTTTGCTCAATAGCTGGAAAAAGCGACATACTTAGTATTATCACCAATACTGGGTGATCAGAGCGTGAACATACTTTTGCCACAATGAATATTTTAAGTATAGGAGACTTCTGTATTTTACTTAGGCCTCGAATACTAGAAGAATTTTGTATACTGCAATGCCACATCAATTATTAACCAAAGTGTGGTATGTGGGTTATGTGAGATGACTTTAGATGGCAAACCTAAGAATATTTTTTACTTAAGTAGATAGTTAGAAAATAATATTGTGTTGAGTGTAATATTTATGGTAGGTAAAACCATAATGCTGGTTTTTAAAAATTAAACATATTTAAATAGGAATGGAATGGGGTGAAATAAAATGATTAGGTAAATATTATTTTAAGTGTTATACAGACATACCAAAATTGGGAGAGTGTTTAAAAAAATGATTAAAATTTGGGAAACACTGTTTCTAAACTTCTTACCTCTATTTGATTTCCAGTTCTAAAATTAATTGTATTCCTTTACTTTTCCAAAATATATTTTCAAAGGCATCAAGGTAATGTCAGCAATTAAATTTAAGAAATTGAAAGCATTTATTTTTGATTACTTGAATATTTTACTAAATGATTCACAAACTACATTCTCCTATATAAAGGTTCTAGATCTGAACTTCTCTGAGTGCTATGATGCATTTAAAATCCAATCAGAATAATCTATTTATGAAGTAAATAAATTACAAAATCATAAATTAGAAAATTATTTATGAAACTCTCTTCATATAAGAGTTTAAGTTTTGAAATAAGTGTATTTTAATTTAGTTAGTAAAATAGTTGACCATCAACAATCATCACTTACTTATATTGCTTATGGGTGTATATTTTTGTATATATAAATATGAATTTTAAAAACACATTTTAGTGTATTTATGTAAAGGATTTTCATATGTTTATATATTTTTAGTTGTTATAGATTATGCTGCAACTGGAATTAATATCTACACTTTGATCAGTATTTGTGATTTGATAATAGAACATACTGATAGGTTTTATTAATCAACACTGGTATCCAGTATAAAACAGAAATAAGTCACTTCATACTTTGACAATGAGCAAAAATGCTATTTGGTTATGAGATATTTTGCACACCTACAAAATGAGAATTAGAATTCTCCCATTCCATGCTTAGGGCCCTCCGTGTTTTCTGAGTCCTCCGCCCAGATTATCAGCAATGAAAATGCATAATGTTTTCTATTGTGGTCTGCCTCATTTAGTGTTAGTTACTACAGTGATTGCCTCTGTCTATATCTCACTGTGTGATTGACACCAAAAGCAATCTTGGGTTGGAGAAACAGATTCTTCTTCTTTAGGTGCACCCTGGAATGCGTTATAATTACATACTCAAGGGAACTTATGCTGAACACAGTTTTACCTTTACATTATGGACTCTGCCTGCAGGCAGTGACAGAAAAGAATAATGAGATGAAGCCAAAGATTTCTGCAAACTCTTCTCTGCAAAAAAAATGGGGAGAGGGTAGACTCAAGGGAAAGAAATACTGTAAAAGTTCCATGTCAGATAGAAGAAAAATAACATACTTAATTTGAAAGGAATGTGAGAAGATTGTGTTAGGGAACAGACTAAGCTGATACAACAAAGAGACCAATGATGCATTAGCACACAAAAACAAAATAAGAAAAATAATTTTATTTTTCTCTCAAATATCAGTCCAGAGTGAGCAGGCAATGCAGGGCAAGCAGGAGGACCCCCCCGTCCCTCCCCCTGGATTACATATTTAAAACTAGCTCAGCAGACTGTGTCTTTAGTCAAGACCCAGGCAAAAAAAGAGAGAGAGAGAGAGGAGAATACACCTAATTATGTCAAGAACAAAACTGGGAAGTCACAAGTACCTCTTCCCTTAACATGCCATTGTCAAGAAACTACCCTTACTTATCTACAAAGGAAATTGGAAAAATATAATCTCTGGCTGGGCAAGTACTCACCAAAAACTCAAGTAGTTTTATTATTAAAAGGAAAATGGGCCAAAGAATATTGGAAAACAGAAGTCTTGCCTTTGGCCTCTAGTGCCCAAGTATCCACCTGCATCAATCTTCCCATACAGAAAGTACAGGCCTCCCCAAGGAATGTAGCTGAAAGTTCATCTAGTTATTGTTCCCATTTCAAAATCTAGGATCTCCTAGTGATGTTTATTTCTGTCCACCTGATCTACAAGTGGATCTCAAAGACTAGCAATTTACTATCTTATAGACAAGTTACTTGCACTCCCATACATCCCAATACAAAATGATGAAGTATTGTACTACTAGGTATTTACCCAAAGGCTACAAAAATACAGATTCAAAGGGGCATATGCACCTTGATGTTTATAGCAGCAGTATCACCAATAGCCAAACTATGGAAAGAGCCTTACTGTCCATTGACTGATGAATGGACAAGGAAGATGTGGTATGTGTGTGTGGATATATACACACACAATGGAATATTACTCAGCCATCAAAAAGAATGAAATCTTGCTATCTGCAATGACATGGATAGAGCTAGAGCATATTATGCTAAGCAAAATAAGTCAGTCAGAAAAAGACAAATACCATATGACTCTACTCATATGTGTAATTTGGGGAACAAAACAGATGAACATATGGGAAGACAAAAAAGAGAGGGAAGCAAACCATAAGACACTGTTAACTATAGAGAACAAACTGAGGGTTGATGGAGGGGAGGTGGACAATGGATGGGCTAAATGGGTGATGGGTATTAAGGAGGGCACTTGTGTTGAGCACTGGCTGTTATCTGTAAGTGATGAATCAATAAATTTTACTCCTGAAACCAGTATTACACTATATATTAACTAACTAGAATTTTAATAAAAATTTGAAACAACAAATGATAAAGTAGGATGAAGAGCTGCAATCAAAACTACCATTCTGAAAATAAAGAATGGGAAACATAGCAATCACATTGATATTCTATTTGGCAGGAATTGAGATTTCCTTTCTAGGAAATAAATTCCTTGGTTAGGCTTTGGTTCTGATCCCTAGCAGGAACACATTTGTCCACTGCTCCCCATGGCCACTGGCCTTACCCCTAGGAGATTCATTCTTTTCATTATCTACTATGGTATCAACTTAAGTCTGGGTCCAATCAGGAGAGAGAAAACATGCAGTAATTTGAGCAAGAGTTTAATATCAAGAATCACTGGGGTGCCTGGCTGGCTCAGTTGGTAGAGCACGCAACTCTTGATATGGAGGTTGTGAGTTCCAGCCCTGTGTTGGGTGTAGAGTTTACTTTAAAAATAAATAAAGTCTAAAAAAATATCAAGAATCACTAAACAGGGATGTGGAAGAATGAGGAATTGGCTATTAAGAAGTAAAGAGAAACCCAAAGAATACAGGAATAGTAGATATAAGGGACAGCTATCACCCCTATGGCTGAGACAGAGCCCTAAGGAAGAACCCCTCCCCCCAAAAGACTGAGATCCAGACCTTGTTAAAAGGCTCAGTATGGCTCACTGAATGGCAGAGAAGTCACTGTGGGATTGAGTCAGTAGAATTTACCAGAAATCCACTCCCTGGTGTGTTAGGGATAGCAATTCATGGGGCTTTTGCCCTAGGTATTCCACTATGAAACTGCCCAATGGAACTATTACTTCTGGGTGGTGCTGACCATTATATGCTGAAGGAGATGGACAATGGAGAAGAGCCTGCCAGGTGACCACCAGAATGAGAAAAGAATACCTCTTTCTAGCCCTGGTAAATTTGGGCTTCCTAATGCAGGGTACAAGTTGGGGGAGGGGGGAAGGAGTTATTGTAATGGTGAAAGTAATTAATCCTGATCACTATACACTAGAGTTGCTTGTATAAAATGAGGTGAGTGAAGAGTGTATCCTGAGCCCAGGGAATGCACAAGGGTGTCTCTTTGTGGATTTTATGCCCATCGATCATGACGAGTGGGCAATTATAGCAACCACAGCACAAATATGATAAGGGGTCAGACTCTTTAGGGGTGAAGACCTGGATAATCCCACCAAGTAAATGACCAAGATCAGCTGAAATGCAAGCCGAGAGATAAGATCAAGAAATCTAGAAAATGTGGTGGAAGAAAGAAATGATAAATATCAAAAACAGGCAGGACTAGCTGCAGTAATAGGACTGCAACTTATTTCAGTATTCCCGTCATGTTAAGTGTCTTGAGACTGGCCAGTCATAATTTTACAGAAAATCTATAATGGATTGAGACTAACGCAGATCTGCGTGGTGCAAAGGGTGTGCTGTTGGACATCTCTTGTGCACCATTTTAAATCTCCCTGATGACACCTCGTATTCCAGACACTTGTGAGGCAAGGAGATCTACACAAACTGACCAGTTTTAGAGAGCACACAGACAGTGTCTCATCTTGGCTCTGTGCTATGTATCTCTCACTTTCTGCCCAGGGAGAATGCAATGGATATGCGCTCTTTTTCTTCCAAGTTCTTATTTAAATTCCAGTTAACATACAGTGTAATAGTTTCACATGTAGGATTTAATCATTTATCACTTACATACAACACCCAGTGTTCGTGACAAGTGCCCTCCTTGTACCCATCACCCATTTAACCCATCCCCCTACCCACCTCCCCTCCAGCAACCCTCAGTTTGTTCTCTATAGTTAAAGAGTCTGCTTTGTGTTTTGCCTCTCATTCTCTTTTCCCCTATGTTCATCTGTTACTTTTCTTAAGTTCCACATGAGTGAAATCATATGCTACTTTTGACCGACCTATTTTGCTTAGCATTAATACTCTAGCTCCATCCATGTCATTGCAAATAGCAAGATTTCATTCTTTTTTATGGCTGAGTAATATTCCGGTGTGTGTGTCTAGACACACCACATCTTTTTTTATCCATTCATCATTTGCACTCTTTCCATAATTTGGCTATTGCTGATATTGCTTCTTTAAGTATCAGGATGAGTGTAACCCTTCAAAACGGTATTTTTGTATCCTTTGGGTAAATACCTAGTAGTGCAATTGCTGGATCGTAGGGTAGTTCTATTTTTAGAACTGCATCCTTGCCAACATCTGTTGTTTCTCATGTTGTTAATTTTAGCCCTTTTGACAGGTTTGAAATATCTCATTGTAGTTTTGATTTGTATTTCCCTATAGATGAGTGATGTTGAGGATCTTTTCATGTGTCTGTTGGCCATCTGTATGTCTTATTTGGAGAAATGTCTGTTCATGTCTTCTGCCCATTTAACTGGATTCTTATTTTTTTTTTAAAGATTTTATTTATTTATTTGACAGAGAGAGACCCAGAGAGAGAGGGAACACAAGCAGGGGGAGTGGGAGAGGGAGAAGCAGGCTTCCCGCCGAGCTGGGAGCCTGATGCAGGGCTCAATCCCAGGACACTGGGATCATGACCTGAGCCGAAGGCAGACTCTTAATGACTGAGCCACCCAGGTGCCCCTTAGTTTTTTTTTTTTTTTTTTTTTAAGATTTTATTTACTCATTTTAGAAAGAGAGAGACAGTGTGAGCGAGCAGGGGCAGGAGCAGAGGGGGAAGGAGAGCGAGAGGGAGAGAGAATCTGAAGCTGACTCCACACCAAGCTGGACACAGGGCTCCATCCCAAGACGCTGGGATCGTGACCCGAGCTGAAACCGGGTCAGTCCAACACTTAACTGACTGAGCCACCCAGATGCCCCAGGATTATTTGGGTTTTGGGTGTTGAGTTTGTAAGTGCTTTATAGGTTTTGGATACTAACCCTTTATCAGCTATGTCATTTGCAAGTCATTTTCCCATTCCATAGATTGCCTTTTAATTTTGTCGATTGTTTCCTTCGCTGTGCAGCTTTTTATCTTGATGAAGTCCCAAAAGTTCATTTTTGCTTTTGTTTCCCTTGCCTCAGGAGACATGTGTAGTAAGAATTACTATGGCCGAGGTCGAAGAGGTTGCTGCCTATGTTCTCCTCTAGGATTTTGATGGTGTCCTGTTTCACATTTAGGTTTTTCATCCATTTTGAACTTCTTTTTGTGTTTAATATAAGAAAATGGGCCAGTTTCATTCTGCATGTTGCTTTCCAGTTTTTCCAACACCATTTGTTGCAGAGACTCTCTTTTTTCCATTGGATGGTCTTTCTTGCCTTTGTAGATTAGTTGGCCATATAGTTGTGGGTCCATTTCTGGCTTTTCTATTTTTTTTTTTTTTCCTTTTTTTAAGATTTTGTCAGAGAGAGAGTGCGAGTGTGCACTCAAGGACAAGCAGGGGGAGTGGCAGGCAGAGGGAGAAGCGGGCCTCCCGCTGAGCAGGAAGCTGGGATGAGGGGCTGGATCCCAGGACCCTGGGATCATGACCTGGGCCGAAGGCAGATGCTTAACCAACTGAGCCAGCCAGGCATCTCTGGCTTTTCTATTCTGTTCCACCCATCTATGTGTCTGCTTTTTGCCAATACCTGTATAAATGTGCTATCCAGAAGAGATGGTGGTTAACATCCTGGAGTGATTTCAGTAGGACAACCAATAAGAAAAACGAGTCCCCCTCTTCCTTTCAAGGCAGACAGTTTTCATAAGGGTATCCTGAAGGTTTCATGGGGTGGGAACACTAGGCAATTTTAGTAGTGACCAACTTTCATTTCACTCCCTTCCCCCTCATTCCTGCTCTGGGAGTCATTTTTAAGATAAACTACTTGCTGGTAGGCCTTTGTCTCAGATCTGAATATCAACGCAATCCCATTTAAGGTAGAAGACTCCTCTCTGAAAGGTTTTCTAGAAACCAGGTTCCCTTCACTGTTGCTCTCTCAACCCTAGAATTCTACTCTGCTTCTCTGCACGGTCAAAGCTGACTCACCAGCACCAGATCCATATTTCATCCCAAAGATGGGAAAAGAGATAGAGGAAGATAAGCACCTTGCTTTAAAGGAAGTGATCTAGAAGCTGCACATATCACCTGTGTTTACCTATCGTTGGCAAGAACTTTGTCACTTGGCCACTCCCATTGCACAGGAGCCAATAGTCTCCAGCTGGGCAGTCATGTGCCAGGTAAAACTCTGCTGATCCTGGTCCTAGATGGGGGATGGGAAAACAGATTTGGGGGTGAAATAAACAGTCTCTATGTCATAAAATAGAAAATGTAGCAATGTATATTAAGAATTTTCTGAAAATATTCCCTTCACCACCAAGTAAAAATGCCTGGGTGTTGTGGCACAGAAATGAGCCCCAGTACTGCCCACGTCTTACACTAATTCTGCCATTTCTCCCAACCAGCATACACTGTATTCATTTGCTATCTGCTTCTCATTTTCCCCAAATTACCAATGCCCATCTTTCGCCTGTTCATTTCTTAGAGAATTTTGTGATGTCTTTTACTATGATTACTTTTTATATTAAGAACAGTAACTCTATTTCATTTTTATTATCATTATTTCATTTCCCTTTTTTTGTTTCAAACACTTTTTGGTGTAGGGCTTGTATTTTAATTTTGGTTCTGGCATTTTCTTAACTATATATTTTTGGGTTGGAGGCCTATTTATTTTGTTCCACTGATTTACCTTGATTATCGCCAGTGTTTCTTATTTTAATAGTCTAACTTCATGAAACATTTAGTGCCTCATATATTTCCCATGTTGTTCACCTTCTTCCCATCTTCGCACCTGTTTGTTCTTCCAGATGGATACTGGAATTATTTTTGCCGGGTCCAAAAGTAAATTCCACTGAGTTTTTATTGGAGCAGTGTTGGCTCAATGATACAGTACAGGAAGACTGATATATTGCTGTTTTTCTCATACAGAAACCTGGCTAGCTCTGTTTATACAACTTTTTATGAATCACGGTGAAGTTTAAATTTTTCTACCTTTCACTCTCCAGGTCTCAAGACTTTTTTCTAGGTATTTTGTCTTTAACAATTTTCTTGTAACATGAATATGCTACTACCTAAGGAAAACTATTAGCTTTTTAAGTTAAATTACCTGATTGAAGTCTCTTTATTAGTCCTAGTAATTTTTCTACTGATTTTCTTTGGGTTTCCATGGAAGACAATCATTTTGAATGCTGATAATGATAATTTTGCCTCCACTTTTCCAATAGTTAGGCCAATTACTTCTGTGTTCTATTTCATTGAGTTTATTAAATACTACCAAAGCAAAGCTAAGTCATAGTGGTGACAACAACTATTTTAATATACTATTAAATTTGTTACAGTGTTATTTGTATTATATTTATGTAGTTATTTTGCATCTGTCATGAGATTATCCTCTATTTAGTATTTTTCTCAGATTTTAGTGCTAACTTGAAGAAATGCATTAGAAGCCTTTTAATTTGCCCTCTGTTCTTTCAGTGTTTTGTAACAACACTGGAACTGGCTCATCCTCAGAAATTTAAAATAACTCAATACCCCAAATTCTCTAGGCTCAAAGTTTTTGATGGGAATTTATTTAGTCACATTTTAAAGTATTTCTTGGTTATTGATCTATTAACAATATCTGTGCTTTTTGAATTATTTTAGTAATATATTTTCTCTAGAATATTAAAACTGCCTTAAATTTTTCTGTTCAGCAATAGGCAAATTAATATTTTGCTATTTCCTTAAATTTTGTTAGCATAATTGTCATAATGTATAAATTGGTCTGAAAGGCAGTACAACAGTTACGAGAACTGGTTCTAGAACCAGACTGCCTAGATTTAAGTGCTGGCTCCTCCACTTATCAGCTTTGTGAATGGGGTCAGCTGTACAGCTTCCCTGCCCCAGTTTCTTCATCTGTAAAATGGGAACAGTAATGATAGGTTATCTCACAGTGTCATTATTGTTAGGATGAAAGAAATAACCAGTGCCCGACACAAGGTACTTGTTGGCTACTACGATCTTTCACTAGACATAAGGACATTCACAGGTCCGCTCTGAAGAATGAAGAGCTAAATAAATTGTCTCCAGCAAAACTACTCAAGCCACGCCACATACATTTTAAGGTTATACAAAGTAATTCTTCCAAGTTCCGCATAAGGGAATGAGGCGCTCGGTGCTGCCCTCTGCAGTTCTGCAGCAGGGAGCCTGATTATTACTAGACCGTTTTCGGCAAAGAAACTACATAGAGTAGGAATGGGGCGGCTGTAATTCCCCTGCTGTGGAGGCAAGATTTAGAGAATGAGGAGGCATACGGGTCCTTGTGTTTTTTGCAGCAGCGACCACCCTTTCCCATCAGCGAGGACAGGCCATGCCCTACTCTCACTGGTATCCTGGGTTCAGAGGTGAGAGTCTGTGGCGACCGCAACTCCCACCTCACTCCTCCTGTCACTACCAACTCCTTTTTTCTAATCCACTTGCTCTAGTAAATGATTCCAAACCAAAATTTTCCAATAATGCTTTCTTAATATTTTCTGGCTCTAATCCCATATACACATGTAGCAAGAACATGCACAAGTTCAGGCTAGGGCGAGGTTTTTCCACACTGATTTCTGGATAGGAGGCCACGTCTGCCACTGCGGGGCTGTCTCTTATTCATGACTGAAGGCCTTTTCAAGCAGGACACTCATTCAGGCGAGCAGGATCCTTCGGACACTCTCATGCCTCAAATGCACAGCAATTATTCTGTCCCTGTCATGCCACAAGGAGTGGCAAGAAATCTGGTGAGACTTTCTCAGGCCTGTCACCTGAGTGAGGTGGCAAGCCTGGCTGTCAAATTCCCAATACAACTGGGATTTCTGTCACCTCCTACCTGTGCCCAATGTCTGTGAAAAACAGGAGTGAGCCATGGTGTTTCTGTCCTCCTTGCTCCCTTCAACCCTAGCTGTCCACATTCCAGGGATCTTTCCTGGTCTTGACATACAAGATTTTCTTTGACATCATTATGCAATCTTTTAAACTGTTACTTGGGCATGGGTTCATGAGATTAAAAAAAATCTTGGAAAGACCTCTATTTAATCTCAGATAAAGATGGCATCCAGACAGATTAGACACCATGCAAACTCCAGGAACTTTGAAGTTTAAATGGCTAGGAAATAGGAGATGGTTCAACAAACAGCCAGTTAATTCAGGTGAAGTAAGTTAATGAATCTGGTAGAAAATAATCTTGGTCTTTGTCATGTTTCAAAATATACTACTGTTTTAAATAATACTTTTACCTCTGAGTTTTCCATATGAATGTAAAACATCCAACTGAAACTAAAAATGTATTGTTTACCTTGATAGCTCCACAAATACTTAACATTTTGTAAGGATGGGTTAATGATTACTAGACAAAACCCTTAACCATGTGCATTATCACTGATGATTGATAAATGATAAATAGATGAAAAGGGAGGGAGGAAAACAGAAGGGAAGGAAGGCAAGGAGAAGGAGAGAGAAAAAAGGGGAGGAGAGAAAAAGAAAGGGGAGGAAGAGAAAGAGGATGGGAGGGAAGAAGAAAGAGGAGAAAAGAATGCATAGTCCTGAAACAAAACCTCCTAAAGATCTAGGATGCGTTAAAGTCTGCAGTCATGAAGTAAATTTTCTAAAACTCAGTTTATTCATCTTACCCTCTATGGTCGTCGCCGTGATCAAATTCGCCAGGCAATTGCTTAACTCCACTTGGGTTTACCTTTGCAAACAGTTACTGGGTCAACATAAAAAACTCAAACAGTTTCAAAAGTGGGACATTTTGAAAGCATTTTGTTTGCTAACACAAATATACCTTATGGTTAACTATTTAGTAGAAATTGATTTTCTCAAATTTGGCCCAATTATTTGATGAGTTTAAGACAAAGCAGCGTCAGCAGCCCTTAATAAAACATGGGTAACGTGTAAAAATCAATCACTGATCTCAAAATTATCTTCAGAGTTTTAGTAGCACATGCTGTCTTTATCATTGTATTTTTAAAAAAGTGTGCAAAGATCAAGACTAAGGCATTCTCAGCTATTTAAAATAATGGCATTATATAACATGCTTATTTAATTTCTGCAATGTAACCTCACTAAATTATCTATGACTTTAATCTTTTCCTGCTATTTTTAAGGTTCATCAGTGCTTCCTTACTTCAGATGTATCATCATCCAGAACTGGAAATGTGTATGGAACCTCTAATTTAAAGTCGAATTACATGACTGTATAAATATATTACTGTCCCTTAATTTCTTTTCAATAAATCAAATGAATACAAAGTAATAACCTTATACAAAAAATGAAAATTACTTTTGGATGGCATCCTTTTGGAGACAGACCTAAGATTAAAATATTACAGCAGGCTCTAAATATCAGCAGGGCTGGATGAGGCTTTAAAATGAATAAAAATGTGTGTTTTGGGTCTTTGATATTTTAATATTCCATCACCGTTTCAAGAGGGTAAAGCACTTCTCTAGTAGTGAGAGGTCTCAAATTCTGTGTAAGCAAGAAAACCAGAGATTTATTCTCTGACAGTAATATCAATCAATTATGACTAAATGGTTTCACTGGGTACTAAACTGCACATTCCATCTTTGGCTGGAGAAATTTGTAAAATACTAGATTCTTCATATTAAACAGGGAGCAACATCCCATGACCAAACCAGTAAAACACTGGATTGCCGTATTTATGTCCACTAAATTAGATCTGCCCTTCTAATTACCCATGTGATAGAACGTGTGCCAAATGCACACACAGTATCACTCACTGCCGCTCTGAGCTCAGGTAGCACTTACTTTCTCAGCCTTTTATTTAGTATCAGTTACCTCTTCATTTTATTAATTCTGATTTACACATGTGAGATTTATCTCAGAATCACTGACAATCTTCTTGAAGACACATAGCCTGTAGGATAGGGTTATGAATATATACTTTCACAAATACTTGTCAGTTCTTTAAGCAGCTTACTTCCCAAGGACTACATGATCTGGTGGAGTACGGCAGTAGCCAAAAGTAAAGAAGAAAGAGTGGTCCTGATGTCATGGACCCATTTCCCACTGCCTCAATGACAAAGCAGGAAAACCAGGCGTGAGTTACTTCTGCTTGAACTCTGCTCGGAACCCTGTCACATTATGACCCACTAGTAAAGCTCCCAGAAGCCACCAGCTAACGATTGCACTCCATTCAGCCACCCTGTCAGCTTACACATCACATGTAGATGCGCACAGATAACTTTTCCTTTACATACAGTGCCCCTCCCCGCTGCCATATGCAGACTGTCTTTCTACCCTTTACATCAAAGTAAGCATAATCTTCAGACTCTGGACAAAATTTGACATCAGATGAGGAATTTAAGGATGGTGTGGAAATCTACTGCAGTGAATCAGAAAATACCCTAATTGTAAAATAATATTTGGAAGTAATCTTCGATTCTTTCAACAGATACTTACCGAATGCCTATTTTGCATTCATTTTGGGAAATACAAAATAGAATCTGCTTGTTTTCAAGGAGCACACATATAATAGATGTTATTGCCGGGCCAGAGCACTTAAGGGCCAGGACTTACCTTTGAACATGGCCAAACCACTACCTGCCTCATTTCCAATGGCTACAAATAAAGTTTGCAGGTTATAAAACTTAAGTATAACTGTTTGAGCCAAAACACAAACTACTTGAAAATATTTTCTGTGAATTTCCATTAAAATCCTCTTGCTTTTGTTCCCTTTTTGTTTTGCTTTGTGGGTTCTTAGTACCTTTTCCTAGTAATTTCAAAGTTTATTGTTTTATTCTGCTAGTAGATGCTTTGCAATGAAAATATCAAACTTTTCCTGTACTCTAACAAAGTATAAATTGCTTATTTACCTTCTACTTGTCTCCAATGGCTGATTTCCCAGTTTTTGCTAATTTTGCTTTACATACTGTATCTTCACTTCTTAAAGCAGTTCTTTAATATTTACATGCTTTATTGGCTAACAAATATTGATTTCATGGCTTCCCCATTCTGGAGGTCCTTCTTTAAATGTTAGTAGACCGATACAGTTCAATTTTTTTCTAGAATTGGGTTTGTGAGAAACATACTATGAGCCCTTTTCATCGACAAAATCTGTTCTATTCAGACAAGAATGACAATGGGGTAGTTATTGAATTTATGAATAATCATTTTCTCATTGAACCTCTTTAAAACTGACATTTAAATACCATGGAGAATGGGGCACCTGGGTGGCCCAGTTGGTTAAGCGACTGCCTTCAGCTCAGGTCATGATCCCGGAGTCCCGGGATCAGCGGGGAGTCTGCTTCCCCTTCTGACCCTCCCCCACCATGCTCTCTCTCATGCTCTCTCAAATAAAATAAAAATCTCCAAAAAAAAAAAAAAAAAAAAAATACCACAGAGGAAAATTCTTAAGACATTGAGTTTTTCTTTTTCTCATTGAATTGTTAACAAGTATTTTCCTTAATCTATTAACTTTACTTAAGCTCAGTCTGAATAAAATCTCAAAATAGTTACACAGGCCTGGGACTATAACCATGTCCAAAAGTGACATGATTTCATAGGAAGGGGACACATAGTAGGCAAAATGACCCCCCAAAATATCCCTGCCCTAATCCCTGGAACCTGCCAAAAGAGTTTACATGGTAAAAGAGAGTTAAGGCTGCTCATCAGCTAACTTTAGATTATTTTGGAATAGCTGGGTGGGTTGAATATCCTTAAATCACCAGAGTCCTTAAAAGTGTAAGAGGGAGGCCTCAAGAGGTCAGAGACTTGATGGCAGAGGTCAGAATAATGTGACATGCGAACTCAACCCATGGCTGCTGGATTGGAGATGGAGAAAGGGTCTGTGAAGCAAGGAATGCGAAGCAGGAAAAGGCAATGGATCCTCTCCCACAGCCTCCAGAAATACAGCCCTGCCAACACCTTAATTTTAACCTAGTGAGACCTGTGCTGAGACCCCTGACTTACAGAACCGTAAGAAAATTTGTGCTGTGCTTTGAACTATCAAGTGAGAGAGACCCAAGTAGGGTAATGAAGGCCTCTTCAGGTGACATAATATGAGACCTAGAAGCAGCTCAATCAGCCATGCCACATGCACGTGAAAGGCATCTTAGGCCTGGTAATGAACATCTACCTCTTTGAAATGTGCTCAAATTGTCAGCTTATCTGAAAATTCTCTGCCTTCCTTCTCCCACCCCTCCGTTCACTGAAATCACGCTGTTTGGCGGCAGCCAGGACGTATTCCTCCCCCCTCAGTGTCGTGTCACCATCCTTTTTCCCTTATCCACCCACCACCCAGCTAGATAGCCTGCGTGCTGTCACTGTCGCTGCTGATAAAGATGTCGCAAAAGGACCGGGCCTGAACATTTTATCCCTCCTATTATTTCAAGTGGGTCTGACACCCAAACTTGTCCAAGCCAAGCAAAGCTTAAAACCACTTTGAAGTTGGGGCAAATGCATTTATTTTTTGCTGGATGTAAACCCATAACCGCCGTGACACCTATTTATCTTCCTGATCAAGGCGGAAAAGCTAAAAACAAATTTGCCTAAGTTACTAACGGGGGGAGGTGGTACTTGAACCAGGAAGTTTCCCTCTTAAACACTTCTCTAGGACTCTTTTTAAGTAGTTCCTTAAATTTCTCAGCCAGCTATAGCCAGTACCACGTGGTGACTTCTAACAGTCTTCAAATTGGACTCTGCACATTCCTGGGGCCCAGACTAGTTCAACTACACAGATGTGTAGTTTTGAGGAAATAAAAATTGTCATAGTAATTTCCGTATATCGTTCCCTAAAATTAACCTGTGAAGGTACCGGGTTTTCCTTCCTTAACTTCTTTACTATGAACCTTTCCTTACACCACAAAGAATATTCCTGAGGCGTATTGGTTTTACTGATTTGTCCCAGGGCGTCAAAGACAATTCCGAATTTCATCAAGGCCCAGTATACCAGTGTAGGCCGCCTTTGTATTCCTGGTACCTTGTGCTAGCAGTGAAACTTAAAAGTTAGAACACCATATGGTATTTTGGTAGGCACTGTGACATTTTAAGAATGCTGAATTGCTTGATAACCAAAAAAGTGGGGAGGGGGTTTGAAACTGAACAGAGAACAGAGATAAAAGAAGATACTACAAGATAGAGCCTTACTTCATTCAGGCAACAAAATCACGTTGAGAACCTGCCACTAAACACAGCCTCACATCAAGCTTACCTTCCTCGGTACCAGTGTGGCGAGTACACCCCTTTACCCTGGTAGTCTGAATGTCAGTTGCTCATTTTGTGAGAGCGGCGTCAAGTTCAACATTTACTTCCAACAGCACCAAAACACTGCCACACAAATGGAACATAGAAGGGCAGGTTTTCTATTCTCCTGAAGCTTCCAACTTCCAGCTTTCTTGCTGGATGATTACTACTGTAAATTAGTTACGTCTCCTACTCACCAACACTACTCAAATCCCTTCTGCCAGATATTTGATAGATTATCACTAATGTACTTTACAATGATTACACCTTTCCTAAGTCCCATATGTACTATAAAAGACCAAGGTGTTTGGTTTTCTGTTAACTTCCACTGACCCAGTCTCTTTGAAGCAGTCATATTCACCTGTGGGCACTTCCACTCATTCCTGCAAGACTTAAGTACCTTCTATGTGCTGAGTGAGTACTGTTTCAGGTGTTGATTATGCATCAATGAACCACTTTCAAATCCCTACCTTCACGTAACATCCAGGAAGGGAGTAGGGACAGGATTTTAAAGCGAAGTTGCTAATTCAGGTTCGGGGAAGGTCCTCAGATCCTGCATTCTAACAAGATCCCAAGTGAAACCACTAGTCCTCTATTAGGAAAAGTGACCTAGAGAAGGAAGAGTATGCAGTTTAAAGAACTAGTTTGATTTGGTACTTGTGCAGACCAGAAACAGGATTAGATCACATAGCTGAGGGGGTAGTTTTTCCAAGCTAAGGGAAGAACAAGGGCAAAGTCCATGAAGAAAAAGTCAGCCTGGGGAGCTGAGTGGAAGCAGAACAGTTTAAGGTCTTTTTTTTTTTTTAAGATTTTATTTATTTATTTGAGAGAGAGAATGAGACAGAGAGCATGAGAGAGGGGAGGGTCAGAGGGAGAAGCAGACTCCCCACTGGGCAGGGAGCCCGATGAGGGACTCAATCCCGGGACTCCAGGATCATGACCTGAGCCGAAGGCAGTCGCTTAACCAACTGAGCCACCCAGGCACCCCAGTTTAAGGTCTTGTACAGAGGATTAATGAGTGAGCTGGGGGGCTAATCACATTCCAGATTTTAAAATAAATCATCTATACTATCATCAACAATACAGGCAAGGGCAGAATCAGCTCAGAAATATTCAGAACATGGCAGAAACTACATCCTTTCTATTTAAAATTAGAAATTTAAATATCAAAGAACATGAGATGGTGCAAATTGGACAATTCTTTGGAGGGCTAGAAAATCATTTGTCCAGAATGACCTATAGACCAGTGTGACCACAAATTTCAAACTCCAAGGAGATCCATGTCCAGCACAATTACACTGTTGGCCTATCACTGGAGCAGAAAGGGGTTACTATTTACTACATAAAGTTGGGAGAAAGGAAAAGCCTGTGGATTCAGAAGCAGATTTAAGGTTGGCACTAGCTAAAAAGTTTATGCAAAGCAAAACAGTCACAAAACGAAGTATATGAAACACAAAACATGTATTCTCTTTTCCTATTCAGCATTCCACCTCCACAAATTCCAAAGTACCACTTCGGCTGCATTCATAAGGCTCATCATTTTGGACAATTTAGGTAAGTATATTCTTAAAACACATAGTTCAAAATTAACCAATTCCTCAAAATGCTTGTCTTCCTAGCATCCAGCTCTACTCACTTTCTGGATTCATTCTTATGCACCTGAATTAAAGTTCTACGACTTTGTATTTTGAAAAGTATCTTTGGGTAATTATAATGCCCAACTGTGGTTAAGAACCTTATCTTGTAAATGTATAACCACTCTAGATTCCAGCAGTGGTATTCCCTGAACGTGGCCTTTGCATTCTTGACTTTGTTGAGGAATTTAATTGGCCTTGTAAGGTACCTAGTGGTTCAAGCAGCATACAACTCTACCTGAATAGAGATAATTTTCATCTAGTCTTGCCAACATTAAGTCCCAGCTTACCCTATCTGTTGGTATTCCCACATAGATTATATCTCAAACAAGTATAGGAGGAGGACTCCTTTAAAGTCTATCAGTGGAATTTAACCTTTCAATGCCTTAGTCTAATTGAAGTCAACATTACATTATAGCAATTTCATTGTGTATATACTTTTTATAAATAAGCATGTAAAGATACATGCTCATTTCCCAGTAAGTGTACATATTCTTAAATTTAGGCATGCAATTAATAATGGAGACACTTCACTGAATATTTGGTTTGGCATCACTTGCTACGAACCTCAGGTTTCTGTTTTTTACCTCTATACCATAAATACTTGCCCTATTAATGACTAAACCCATATTTATATTGGCATGTAATTATTTTTCAAAGTACTCAAAACTGCACAGGGCTGGGATTGTTGCCTTTAGAGTTGCTTTACTGGCCACAAAGTATCTTAAAAACCTTAATTTTCATCTTATTTTAAAAATACAGTACAAATCCATTAAAAAACATTCAACCTTATAACCAAATATTTAGATCTTTACTAAAAGCAGTTGTTTAGGACTTCACACACTTTGGTTTCCCCTTAAACTTCAATGTATCAATAGGTTAAAGATCAAAGTGAAGATGCTTCATACTTAATAATATCTAAACTGGCTGGATTTTAAGTGCCTATGGTCTGTTATTAAAAAAAAAAAAAAAAAAAAAATCACACAAACTTATTCTTGGAGCCCTTATCACATTTTAAGTTAAAATACCAAGAACCCAAATTTCCAAATCAAGTAAATTCAAATGTGATTTAAACATTTGTCAGATTCAAGATAAGAGAATAACTTTTTATAGACTAATTTTTGACATGGGTTTTAATCAAGAGCCCATTTACGTTTTATATCCAATACTCCTGATCTCACTTCATCTGTAAAATTAAGATACAAATGCTGATGCCAAAGATAACTAAAATAATTCATGTAATAAATCACTTCAGTACCTGTCCCCACTTCCCAACTACCTCAAATTGATAAGCAAAGATGTTTGGATCATTTATAGTAACAAAAAACACCAGAAAAAGTGCCACAACTAAAAACAACCTTAAAATTTTTATTTTAATATGCTTATTCTGGACAATTTCTTAACAAACAGTCTTAAAATATGTAATTTTATTTATTTACATTAAATGCACCAAAACAACTCAAACAGCATGACTAAATTGCACATACATATAAGTAGGCCTGTCTGAATGCTGTGCCTGTTTAAATTACTGGAAAAAGAAAACTAAGCCTTTTTTTTTTTTTAAACAATTTTCCTGTGGTCTTAAAATCATGGGATACATCCATCTTAGTTATCCTTTAAAACTCATGAGGACTATTACATCAGGAACTGAATTTATCAACAGAAAGCTACATTAATTCAGACTTTTTAAAAAACAGTGTAAGCTAAACCACCTCTCAGGCAAAGAATAACCTGCCGCCAAGACTCAAGTAGACATGATAATCTTATTTTTAGTTGGACACGAAATACTGGCCTGTATACTTATGCTCTCCTTACCTTTACTACTCAGCTAAAAGAGGCTAATTTTCTAATGATAGACAATCTTGGTTGTCAATTACTAACAGAACAGTATTTCATTAAATACATAATTAACTTGAATGTAACACTGAATTGTTCTCCAGGCAATTGCAGGTTGCATTTTGTCAGGAATCATTCTGTAGGGTTCTTCAAGCTACAGGGGAAAACCCAAGTCTGGCTTGTTCTGCTTAGACAGGTTTGCCTGTAAAATGAAGATCTCAAAAGTTTTTAGTAAAATCACTACACTTTGCAAGCAGTTTTGAAAAATAATTTGTAGAGCTGTTAAGTGCTTTCCTTTTAACACAGACTAAGAATCATACATGCAGAATATGCAAAAAAAATATAAAGACTTATTTCTTCCTAAAAATAGTCTTAAGGCTATCAAACCAGGAGCAACAGCACCCTAAAAGTCTTAAACACTTTTAAGGTTGAAACACAAAAAAGGTTAGAGCTTTCTCCCCCAGGACAATTAGAGAAGAGGCAGGCAATTAGGAGCTACAATGAACGTGTTCAACTTATTTTTATATCAAAATGACTAATTATATTTGCATGGCTTTGTGTTAGCGCTACTCGAAAACTCAACTGTCTTGTCTAAGAAAATCTTAACAGAATCAAGAATGTAAACTTTGCCACACATTTTAAAACCAGAAACATAAAATTCAATTCCTAGTGAACCCTTGACAACCTCAGCCCTACTGCCAACCCCATAAGAAAACATTCACATCTATTAACTTGTTTACTAGACGTGAAGTGTAGTTAAGTCCAATTGAGTTCTGAACAAGTACTACAAAGGTTCAAGCATCTAGGGAGAAAAAGTTAATTAACCATTTAGGGTTTTATTAAAATCTGACAGTTTAGCATATAAAGAAATCCTGTAGAAAAGCTTCCTATCACTGTTCTACTTCAAACAGTAATGCTAGTATATTTCCCCCCTCAAAAGCTTTAAAATGAAATTATATGGTTTGGTAGATGTAAACACCTTTTTCCACTAATCACCATCACACCCCATTTCTACAGACTACGATCAGCCATGCTAGTATTATGGGACTTTGAGAACATTTAGTTCAAAGCAGTATTTGTCATTAAATATCAAAACAAAACCATTTCAAGATTTTCTTCAATTCAAAAGGCTTAGGAACTCAAACTAAAAGACAATTACATCTCCATTGTATAAATCATCGCATAATTCTTAATATTTTCTCTCTCTGAAAAATTACCTTTTAATAATCAACTCCAGAACTAAGAAACTCTTACCTTTCTATTCAGGGATCCATGATTAAACTTTCCATGTTAGACTTTACGTAATTGATTTTAAAAAGGTAAGACGTCTTCTAAATTTACCAATTGGTATAATAAGCTATAGAAAATTTACTCCATATTACTAAGATAACAGCTTTCCTCCAAAATTCAGCTTGGATCCAATTTTAACAACGGACCCTATAAAATCTGATTATTCTCAAGTTAACCCACATTTTTCTATACAGGTGAGACACAGACTAGACACAAGACACATGAAAGAAGCAGAAATATTGGATAAAATACTGTGTAACTGCCATTGCTTAAGGTTCCACTCCAGTGACAAAGTCACGGAAGCCTAGACTAACTATCATTGTTGCAAAAGTCTGGTTTATGAAGGGAGAAGGAATGTTAACAGTAGTACAGACTTAAAGAAAAACTAATTTCAGACTCCCACCCAACTACACTCTTGGCATTAGAGACATGTACACATATACTTGTCACTCCATTTAGCACCAGTGTGTCTTATTATCTTTTTAACTCCTATATTTTAAGTTCCAGAAAGCTAAGGACAGTCTAAGGATCACGGAACAGTTTATACAGCATAAATTACTAAGCAAACTAGTACATAACCAGTTAACAGTTTTACACATTAAGAACACTAGTACCGGTAAAACAGTATTTGTTTACTAGAAACAAAAGACAACCTCCCCTCCCAAATGTAAGTTAACATGCTTAAAAACCACCAACCAAACCCCACAACTTTTTTTATACATTGCAATAAACAGAATACTTTCACCAAATTTAAATAATGTACAAGTAACACAATTTATTAACTTTAAGATTAAGACATTGTGAATACCAGCTCCAGAAAAGCAAAAATATCCTAACTTTACAAATTATCATAGTATTAAAATAAATTTTCCTCACAATTATAATTAAATACTTAATATTAACCTAATTAGATGAATATAGTAAAAACTTATAATCAAATCTGACATGCAACTTCAGAGGTGGAGTATTTTAGCACAAAATTATGACAAAACTTCATTTTAAAGAACAAAGAGTTGTATCTATGAACTTCACACTGACAAAAAAATTAAAATTACAAAGCTTTTTTTAATACTTTACATTTCTGGAACATATTAAAGTGGAAGTCGAATCTTCAGTAATACTTAATTTTCAAAATCTTCTGGTCACAATCCCCACCAAACTCAACAGGCCGGGACAAGTGCAATACCATACAGAAACACAGCATTGCAACCGATCCCAACCTGTGTAGAAAGGGGTTTGATTTTCCCTTACTTTTCTACAGACTTTTCACTACCACAGTCAGTTTTGCATGGATTTGCACAGCAGAATATCACACAGCTGGATGCAAACCTGCAAAACTAACCATAGAACAGTGTTCAGTAACTGGATAGTTTGACTGGGCGACAGGCCGGAGCTGGAGTTCTACAGCTCGCAGTACTTTAAGTGCTCATAATGCAGTAGATAACTAAACACTACCTGCACTATAAGCACTTTAGTGCTACAGAAGCTGTCACATCACATACACCAGGCAGATTCTACATCGACACAATAAAAGTACACAAAATTAGTAAAAAAAAAAAAAAAAAAAATCACTTGAAGGAAATAGCAGGCCACCATCAGTTTTGCATAGATTTGCACAACTACATTCTTCTTGTAGTGCAACTATGCAAAACTAACAGAGGACTGCAAACAAAAAGTATTAAAACACCTATATACTTGCTTGGCTTGGATTATTGGATGAAAACATAACTTCTTATGCCAGAAGGAGCACTTAGGGCAGTAGATGCTAATCTACTTCACTATCTGCACTAGATGCACCTTAGAACAAAAAGCACTCAACACCAGCAGGCCCTGCACTTTCAAGCCCACCTTGGCTTCCCGAGGCAGCTGTCACCATAATGCTACAAGTGCCTTCACTGCAGTAGATGCACATATCACTACCTGCACTGTAAGCACTTTGACATTATTCTGACTGGTCACAATCTTCAGTCTTACAAGGTGATGGTCTCTTTATTCCTGCTAAATTTGAAATAAATAATTAGAAATAACACCTCCAACTCTTAAGAGCTATAAAACATACAAAATTCAGCATAGTCCCTAATGGGGAAGAGAAAATGAATTTAATTATCTCAAACCTGTAAGTTTCATTCACAAGCACACTTAGACCTTAAAAGTATTAGAAAAATCTTTTTCACAAGACAATCTTAACCATCAATCTAATACTGTCAGAGAAACTGATGGCTCTTCTTTTACCTGGAGGTTCCCAGACATACTCAAAAAAATTTTTTTTTTCAATCAATCAAGATAAGACTGCATATGAATGAGAATTAATAGATGAACAGGGCAATTTGATTCATGTACCTTTTAGAGGGATTCTTCACATCCACGTGGCAAAACATTTTTCTTTTCTTCTGGCTTCCAATTAGCAAATACTTAGCAAATTAACAAAATTACTGTTCAGACTACATTTCAAGTGTATTAGCTGGTTATAGAACTTAAACATCCTGTTTAAATTTCTTTGAATCTTGAAAACTTACTCCAAAACAGATCTATCACTCAACTTAAAGCAGTTTTAAAATTACATTTTGTAAACCGTACATCAATTTCCAAAAACTTATATGGTATTTGCATTGTACTCTTACTAACTTAAAAATTAGCTGACCCACACTGAGTTAATTTCCTAGAAAAGGTAAATGGACAAAGTACAAGATACCTATTTCACTCTTTGAAAACCCAATCTATTTACTGAAATAAAAGATTAAAGTAAAAAAAAATTGTTTTAAAGAAAAGTTAACAAAAAAATTAGAACACACTTACCCACTAGGGAAAACTTTCTTCTCAGCCAAGTGTCCTTAGAAAAGCTTTTGGTGCAGTTAGGTCCACGTGTATGACTGGGATTGGGGGTGGGGAAACAGGGAAAAAAGACAAACATATTTGCTGAAAATTATCATCACCCTCCAAACCTACATTTAAATTTAAACGGTCTCTTTTCTAACACCCTTATATCAATTAGTTAAACCATTTGCTAAACCAAGGATAACGTAGCCAAGGAACACTGGCAATGTTTAAAAGACCAACAATGTATATGGGTAAAAACGCGTTAAAGAGAATAAAGTTGAAAACCCCACAGGTATTGGATCCACGTCCTATTTAAAAAGATCCTGAAATACTCCAGTATAACGCACAACAGTCGTTAACTGTACGGCTCCGAGCGGAGGGAAAAGCAGCAGCCAAGGGACTATTCTTTACCACCCCTCCCCCAACCAAGACCTCGTGGCTGCAAGCCGGGATAAAGAGTTGCTTCCCCAACTGATGCGGTCGGGATGGCATGCTGGTCATTTCTTCTTTCGGTGGTACAAGAACGAGCCCGCCTCCTCCAGTTCCCATGCCCTCTGCTCCGGCTTAGGAGTAGGAAAGGGAGCAGGAACACTCGAGACCGCAAAGTGCCCGCCTCGCTCATGGAGCCCGGGCCGGCAGCACATGTCGCACAAGGGGGTGCGCGGCCTTGCGGTTCCCCGAGCGGCCGCCAGGGGGCGGCGGGTCAGAGTCGGGCCCTGCCGGACGCGGCAACCCGCCCCCCCTCCGTTTCCCGGCGGCAGCCGCGCGGCGACCGGCGGCGCCGAGGCCCGAGCACGGCGGGGACGCGGGCGCGCCGCCCCTCCTTTGTGTCCCCCGCCCCCCTCCCAGCCCGGCCCAGAGGGGCGGGGGCTCCGCGACTGCGGTGCCCGTCGCACGCGGCCCGAGGCCTAAGCCGGGAACAATCGGCGGCGGCGCGCAGTCGCCGCCATGTCCCCCGCCCTCACCCCCGCGCAGCCCGCCCCGCAGGAACATGGCGGCGCAGCCGCCGCTCCCGCCGAGCCGGGCCGCCCTCCCGCGCCGCGCTCCCTGCCAGCGGGCGGGCGAGAGCGACTCCACGCCGCCACCGAGGCCAGCCAGGGCCTGCTCCGCGGGCCCCGGCCCGGGAAGTTGCGAGCCCCACCCGGGGACTGCCCACGCGGGTTAACAAAGCCCACGCGGAGTGGGGGCGGCGTCCAGGCCGCGCCGCCCCGAACTCCCGCGCCCTCCGCCCACCCTCACGCGCACAAAGTTTGGGGGCCCGCGGGCTCCCGCCCACGCCACGCCGCCCGCCAGCGCGCAGGTACCTCGTGGGCGCGCCCCCTCCCGGCCCGCGGCCTGCCCCATGTGCCGCTGCCGCCGCCGCTTTGTTCTGGAGGCGCTTTAACTCTCGCCCCCGGGAGAAACTTTCCCTTCCCAGGGACCCGCGCCCCGCGTGCACCCCGAGGCCTGGAGGGGGCGCGGGCCTCGCGCGTTCCCTCCCTGAGGGGCCATTGTGTGCGCCGCGCGCCCACCCGCCCGCCGGGGCCGGCCCAGGCGGGGTCCGCGCGGGTCCCGGGCGCGGCCGCCGCGCGCACGCCGCCCCCTCCCGCCCTCCCTGCCCCGGCCCTGCCCTGCCCCTCCGCCAGCCCGCGAGCGAGGGGGCAGCGAGGCGCGGCTGCCACACGCCGGGGCGGCCAACGGCCCGAGACCCGCCCCGGCCCCGGCCCCGCCGCCGCCGCCACGCTGCCCCGGGCCATTCCGCCCCACCCGCCCTCCCTCCGGACTGGGGCCGCACACAACAGGTTTCACTCACGCGGCGGAGGGGCGGGCAGACTCACCAGGAGGAGTAGCCGCCACCATCTTCGCCTCGCCCGCCGCGGGCTCTCGCTCCCGCCTCCCCACCCGCCTCCGCTTTACTACGACCGGAGGCCCCAGGCCGGGGGTGCGGCCGGCCGGCCGGCCCGCCCCGCCAAGGGGCTTCGCGAGGAGCGAGAGCCGCGGCTACGCGGCGGGGGTCGTCCCCACCCCCTCGGCCTCGCCCGAGGGCGCGAAGTGGCGCGAAGGCGCAGGTCGGGCGGCGACGGCAGCACCTCGAAGGGCCATGTGGGTGAATGAAGGGCGGCGGCTCCCGCCTCAACGTAAATACGGACAAGCCCCACTCCCTCATTAGCATAAAAAACAAAGTACTTCCGACCTCCCCGCCCGCCCGCCAATCACCGCAGGCCCCGCCCACGGCGGCTCGGGCTAGGCGGCTGGGAGAGCGGGAGCCGGGAGCCGCTCGCGGCGCAGCACTGCCTTTCCCCGGCCGCGCTTCCCCGCCGCCCGCCCACCGCCGCCCGCCTCGCGGAGCGCCTCGCCCGGACACCTCGCGCCACGCCTCCGGCACGCCCTCCGTTAACAAGCTCTGCGCGCGTGCAGACCCCCGCGCGTCGCACACCCTCCTGGAAGCGCACGCTTCCTGCGGCTTCCTGAGAGCTCTGCTCTCGCTGGGACTCGACGTGTACGCGATGTGATTACTGTTTATTACTTTCCTTGCCCACGATGGGTCTCGGTCGTAATTAGGGGCCTGCTTCGTGCCAACATGAACCAAAGATGAATAAAACCCAGTGACTTACTATCACATTGAAACCGGATTACTCGGTGCACACAGATCGTTTGAGAACAGAGATAAACGCTTTACACCCGAGACTTACATCGTTGAAATGTGTTTCCTTAACCCGGCCGTGTGTGAACCAAAACGCATGCCCGAGCAGAGGTTTCGCTGCTGCAGTACCTGACCCTCCTCCCATGCCCCGCTGCACTTAGTAAGAACACTTGGCTCTCCGGTACAAATAGTAGAGCTCGAAAAGAACCTCATAAACAACCACAAAGCTGAGAAAAGGAGCCCACTCAGGAGCACCTCCTTCTACATATTGTGGTTTAGGAAATTCCAGAATTCTCGGAAACATAATTGTCAAAAGAAGTGAGGGTTCATAACGCTTACTACAAGTACAGTAATTTTAAATTGGTTTTAAATAATCCAGTAAGTATTTAGTGGAAAGCACATACCACTCTTTCGTGATTTTGCAAGTCAACTGTAAAAACCATGTTACCAGAAGATGTCTGTAATGTCCAAATGTTAAAATTTTCGGCATTCAAATCTTGATGATACTGCTAATATTTACTATCTTTGACTCATTTTGCCATGCTTTGCTTAAATTCAATCGTCAAACTAGAGATATAAAAAGTAAAGGATTAACTCTTCTTTTTGCTATTCTTTTATAAGAAGGACCTATTTTCTAGATATTTTTGCTTTACAAATCAAAATAGATGGCCAAATCTGAAATTTTACAATATTTACAATATTAGTCCTTCTATAATAGTAATCTATGAGACTTTCAAAGGGGAAAATTGATTACTAATTCTCTTTAAAGTCTGTATTTAACGTTGCTTTTGACCAGCATTGACTGATACGTCAATTCCTTTTTCTTTAAAACTTCATCTTCTGCTTTAAATTAGAATGGCTGGGAGGAGAGGTGCTGTTGAGTGTTTATTACACTCTGAATCATGGGAAATCCCACCTATACACAGGTTTCTTAGCAGGAGAGAGTTATTTATCTCATAGTTTCTTTCCAATTAAAGTCAACACTGCAATCCTGCTATTTTTAAAAAGGCTGTTTTTAGACATCTAACAATATTTCTGCGGAAGGCTAACAGACAAGTAACTATTTTCTGTGATTATAGTTTGAGAGATTTAATTCTTAAGGTATACATTTTTATGGTAATCAGAATTTTGGAAGATGTAAATTCATTTAAACCAACTTCTTGGAAATCCCAGAAAGTTTCACAATTAGTAGATTGCATTTTATTTTTAAGGGGTTCACTCACACTTCCTTTCGAAATTAAGAAAGAAATTATGAATATAATTAGAATAATTGAAAACTTTTCAATACCAATGAATTTAAAGATTACCCAACTTAGTATTTTTTTTTTTTTTTTTTAAAGTCACTACTAACTAACTAGAAACTCATCCTTCTCAATTTCAGGGGCCACACCTAGGGCCACAGCGAGGTATACTCTATCACCAAAGTAAAGATTTTGTGGTTACGATTTTGAAGATCAGAAAAAATTTCTGAACCATTAACAAATGCCTTCGGCAACCAAGGAATGTAAAAACAAAGCTATCTGAAATGCCAAAGTAGGCACACAGACTTCTCAAGTTAGCTAAAACACACGGTACAGTTTTACATAGTCCAGAACTTTTTAGATGAAATGAAAAGCTCAATTCAACATGAGAACATTTGCATTAACTGTTTACATTGTATATAACAAGTAGTAGAGAAATATTTGTATTTTTCACCCAGATGCTTCAGTCTTATAGGCATAGATGATGTGATTTGAGAACACGTAAAAAGTTCTGATCTTATTAATAACATTCAGAATTTTATTCCCTATCTTTTGCTATGTCAGTATCAATTGACTTAGTCGTATTAAATTTTCAAAAAATAAGTTCAGTTTGAATATTCTTGTTTTGTAGCATAATTACAGGATTTTAAGAAACTAATGAATCAGTAATCTCATTCCCATTAGATAGATGTGAAAAACTTAAGAATGATGTAGAAATCTAAGACAAATACAACTATCTGTTATTTTAAATCTGTATCTCTGTATAATTTGAATATTAATATGGAGACAGTCTATAAGTTGGCTCTTGCAATTAAGTATATTTCATATTTTGGCAATTTGGCATTTTAAATATAGGTTCCTATAGTAATTTATTATTTCCTTACAGTATTTGAATTTTAAGGGAAAAGGAGATATAGTTAAACATCACATTGACCTTGGAAAATTATTAGGTTATAAATCAAGAACATTTTGAACTCTTATAATGTAGCAGTGATCAATGACACAAATTCAATCATCATTGGGATGTTTTACAATATATATTTGTAAATGTCTGAAAATGCATCGTCTAGTCTTATCATACTATGTTTTATATTTAGGACTTTAAAGACATTCAATCCAAGTTAACAATCATCTATTAAGTACCTGCTATTCTCTGGTACTGCTCAAGGTTTTAATAAGGAATAAGACAGAGCCCTTGCTTAGGAAAAGTTCAAGAATTATAGCATATTACTGATTATCATGAATATTTCAAAAATAAGCAAAGGATTCAGGTCTTCAGGCTTTTATTTGTTCCTTCCAATGTCTAATAAAATAATCCCACTGATGTCAGGTATTTTATTTCCATAGTTAAGAATTTAGAACATCTGCACTTCATATATGTTATTTGATAATCACACATAACATGAATATGTGGATTATTTGCTACAAATGGCATTCCAAGGTGCTATTAATGACAATCAATTTATAGTGAACACAAAAATCATGATCATTGAACCTGATGGTTCCATCTATGGTTTTGAAATTAAGAAAATACAAATTATAGAGGGAAAAATGAATGTGTGTGGTTTTGAATAAAGAAGCAATTTAAAGGAAGTTCTTTCTTTTGTATCCTTGAAAATTGTCACTGTGGTACTCTGTAGAACCAGATGGGAATAACTGATTATTATTTAATTAAGAAAACTAGATATAGGGACGCCTGGGTGGCTCAGTTGTTAAGCATCTGCCTTCGGCTCAGGTCATGATCCCAGGGTCCTGGGATCAAGTCCCACATCGGTCTCCTTGCTCAGTGAGGAGCCTGCTTCTCCCTCTCCCTCTGCTGCTCCCCCTGCTTGTGCTCTCTCTCTCTGACAAATAAATAAAAATCTTTAAAAAAAAAAAAAAAGAAAACTAGATATACTAGATACTATTTGTCACAATAAAGAGATAGTCTCTACTCTTAAATAAATTTGGTATGCACTGATGTTTATCAATATATGTAAAATTGTATGGCTTTAGAAAACAAATTTAATATATTTTTAATTAAACATTTAAAGGTGATATATCATAGTAAATTACGGTAAAGTATTTCACCATTTTTCACTTATTTCATTCTTTTGTGCAACATCAAAATTAGAAGTATCTTATTTTTAATTTCTTGTTTTTAACTTAATTCAGTAATTCTTTACCTGGCTGTACTTTACAATTACCCATAGAGCCTTTAAAACATACAAACGCCTGGCCCTTACTTGCAAATAATCTGATTTAATTGGTCAGAAGGGAGACCTGAGCATTGTTTTTTTAAAAAAAATTCCCAGGTCAGGCTTATGCTAAGTCAGAACTGACAAGCTCTGGTACTTAGTTCTCGCATTAGATAAAAGCGTTTGACTCCTCAGTATCTTTAGCTGTTAATCTTGATAGGCGCTTGTGCACGTGTCCATCCATATTACATATGTTGCATTGCTAATTCACTCAGAGAAACTGTGAGAAACACGCCAGCGTATTTCAAATCCTTCACCAAAGAGTTATGGGCATAAAAATTTTTTAAAATGACAAAAACATCACAAATATTATGTTGAAAAAACTATGTACATTAACTGTAACAATCTAAGTTTATAAGGCACATTGGAAACTAGCGAGCTATTGCATATTTGCTCTCTGGGGTTGCAGTTTATTTTAAGAAATCTACTTAGCAATGAAAGATCATTCCAAATATGGATTGCGTTGTATTTGAAAAAATTCTCTGTAGTGGACATGTTTAGATGTAAGTTCAATTTTTTTTTTCAGTCATTCAGCTGTGAGAAAGGGATACACAAAGATCATCTGGGTCATCTATAATATTTTGAAAATACTAAAAGACAGACAACAAACAGATCCCTGGTAGGAGTAATTACCAAATGCTAATGCTTTCAATCAATTTTATTTAATTTCCTAAAAGCTTCTTAGGGTTTTTTTTTCTCTTGCTTTCAAATATAGGCTTTAACCTCAGTTTATATCAGAGGAAACAGGTTGATTCAGCCAATCATCTAGGTCTGCTTTGGTAGTTCATAGTTCCAGAATCAACTTAACGATATTGATTATATAATTACCTCTTTAAGACTGGTTAGAATAACACAGATTTCACAATCGTCATATTATTTTACATAACTACACTTGAGTATTTAACATTCAGGCCTAATACTTTCTATGTATATCAAGGTGATGAAGAATTATTTTAATGTTATGGAAATTGTAATTGG